GTTGGTCTGTGTTCTGTCGGAGCTGCCTGCGACGCGCTGATGAGATCCAAAAAGATCGAAATCGCGATCCGCGTCTGGCAGTTTCGATAGAATACAGACCACTTCGAATTATTTTATTTGAAAGAGGTAGGTTTCCATTTTTGCACGAGGTGTTGTTACGTAATAGTATCAAATGTTTCAGATAAAACACCACTACCCCTTGTTTTTCACTGTGTAGTATGTGATAATATTCATCATAATAACACTTATTTTTAATGTAATTCTGAGAGCAGTTTTTATACAGGCCATCTGCTTTAAATCCGTGTTCTACTAATATTAGTGATTAATATGTTTTATTAAACGACCGATGTTTTCACGTTTCAGATCATGTCAGCCAAAAAGGTTCTTAAGCTTCTGATTTTTACTATAACTTCATTAGTAAAGACTTTGCAGACAACCTACAGCGAAGATGCAGCGCGCGACGGACTGAAGAACTGTACTAAGGCTGTACGAACTATTAAAATGCTATTGAAGAAGGCAACCACGGTAGGCGAGAAGCAACAACTTTTATCGCAGCTGGCTAACGTTAAAAGTTATAGAAATCAAATAAAAGTTTCTGTAAGACATGGTTCAGGGATGACGGGCGAGGTTTTAACCTCTTCTAGACCATCAAAAAGAGTAAACAAACAAACAAACAAACAAACTAATGTAAGAGCGAGAGAAGATAAGAGAGATAAATAGATACGCTGGTAGATAAATGTTTGCACTTATAATAAGTAAATAGGTAGATAAACTGTATCTCTCTTACATAAGTGATTTAGTATACATCAAACTTATTAATGTGGTCAAATAACAGGTGTCAGTAGGGTCAGGTCCATGTCCATGGCTGGGTCTAGCCTATAAATAAAGAAAACACAAGTGTGCGCGCTCGTGCCCCTCTCAACAAACGTATGTGTGAGTTGATAATTCGTGTTCTATTGGCATGATTGTCAATGTATTACTGAATACATCAGTTACTGAAGAATGATACTGAGACGTGCAATGGACATAAAGGGCAGACTCGCATTATGTCCGCTCCAGTATCACCCTTAGACGCAAAGGGCTGAACTCGCAATGCGCCGATATTACTCATTCACATTACCACTAGTACTAAGATGTGCAATGAGCACAAAGGGCTGAACTCGCAATGTACTCTCTTCAGATACTAGGGTTTGACCATTTACTTGGCACGGTCGGTACTGAGGGGTGCAATGGTCACAAAGGGCGAACTCGCAGTGTGACCTCTCCAGCTACCTTAATGAGAAAACTATCACAAAGGGCGAACTCGCATTGTGATTTTCTCCAAGTGACTACATCAAAACCACATACATACGAATTATCAACATCGAGTAATTATTTATCAATAAACATTATTCATGCAGAAGATTCATTTATCAAGTGATTCAAAAGGTAGACAAATAAAACAGGCAGAACGCTCAGTGAATAAACTCACCCTTTTATAAAAACAACACAACATTGCACACATTCACTGTCTTTAATACACTGCCCTGATTAAGTTTAAGACACAGGGAACGGGATAGTTAAAACTATATAGTATATGTATGTATTTACAAGACATTCCCATAGCTACATAGGTAATCTAGGGACGGAGCGAGCTCAAGAGAAGTGTTATTCTATTCTAAACAAATGAGTCCTTGAAATATTTTCGAACATACTGCCCTTAGTTGGCTTTTATTTTAGGGTGTATTTGAAATATTATATATTGAAATAATCTGAGTTCTTACATTCGGCCATCCTGCTCATCTCCTCGTCCCGAGGGGATCATATTGTTCGGTGACTGATTCTTCAGTGGAACTGAGATCTCTTGTAGGAAGTTAATAACAAGTTTTGTATTTGTTGATTTTACCGGTTTTAGAAATACAAACTTTGTGAATGCATCAACAGCTACAATTAAATGAATGTTTCCATGTCGACTTTTGGGGAACGGACCAACGTGATCAAGATGTAAAGTATGAAGAGGTATTGGCATTTTTTCAATTGGATGCATAAATCCTTCCTTTTTTCCTGTCGGGCGTTTGTTGAATAGGCAAGGAATACAACATGATATGTATTTCTCCACATATTGTCTCATTCGCGGAAACCAATAATGTTCGCATAGTCTTTTCAATGTCTTTTCTACAGCAAAGTGACCATTTTCGTCATGAGCCATTCGAACAATTTGTTGTCGCATACCGCGTGGTACTACCCATAACAACCCTTTAACTGTGATGCGATAAATTCTACCATCACGTAATGCATAGTTTTTGTAGATTCCTTTCTCACATTCGCTTTCAGGCGAGTTAGATAAAATTTCCCGGATTGTTTTTAATTTCTCATCTGTTAACTGACCTGACAGGACCCAATCCGCTTGTTCTATTCTGAAAATCTCAGCTGGTGGTTCTTCAGTTGATGATGGATTTCTGCTGAGGGCATTCGGTTTTAGTAGTTTGCCTGCTATAATAGGCTACAGGATGAAAACGCTCATCAGCTTGTTTTTGTAATAGTATTCCGGCTAAACTTTTGGCGCTAGCATCTGTGTGTACCTCCGTCACAGCGTTGATGTTAAATATTGCTAAAACTGGTCTTTTAAGTAATGTTGTTCGTAGTGCTTCAGATACTACTTGCTCCTCCTGACCCCATTTCCAAGAGGTATCTTTCTTTAATAAATTCGTCAACGGCCGTGCTATGGTCGCGTATCCTTTTACGAAATGTCGAAAGTACCCGGTCAAACCAATAAACTGTCTTACATTGTGAACTGATTTTGGTACAGGAAACTCCGAAATAGCATTGGTTTTTCCTAATCCTGGTTTTACGGTTCCGTTTTCGATTTCGAATCCCAGATATGTTATTGACTGTAACAAAAAGTGGCATTTTGAAAGGTTTAGAGTCAATCCTTCTTCTCTAAATATTTTCAGAATCGTTTCCAAATTTGTAATCCCTTCTTGTACCGATTTTGTGTGAACCAAGACATCATCAAGATAAACGGTAGCAATATCTTTTGCAGGAGCCAATATCTTGTTCATCAACCGTTGGAAAACAGCCGGTGCATTGGCCAGTCCAAATGGCATACGATTGAATTCAAATTGACCATCAGGGGTCACAAACGCAGTGTAATGCTTTGACTTTTCTGCGATCGGTATTTGATGGTAACCAGATCTAAGATCTAAGCTTGTAAATATGCTGCTGCCTTGTAATCTGTCCAGTTGGTCGTCGATCCGTGGTAGAGGATATCGATCCTTGATAGTTTTTGAATTAAGTTTTCGGAAATCAATACATAGTCTATCTTCTCCGTTCTTTTTCTTAACTAATAGAACTGGAGAAGCAAACGGGGAGTTAGATTCACGAACAATGTCATTTTCCAGTAATTCAGAAACCATACTTCTAACTTTAAATTGATCATGAACGGACATACGATAAGGTCTAAAATAAAATGGTCTATCATCTTCCAGAGTGACTTCCAATTCAGCTGATCTCGCGCTGCCCAGATCCATCGAATTATATGAAAAACAATCTCTGTAGCGTTGCAACAATGAAATCAAAGCTTCCCTATGTTCGGCGTTCACAGGACCGATATTTATTTCCTCAATTGATAACAATGGGAGATCTTCAATTCTCATACGCAGTACCATTTCGTTTGGAGAAGTCTGAGCTGGAGCAGAAAGCCAAGCCCTAGCTAAAGGTTTCTTGTTTCCTAATTGAATATCAAAGTCAGATAAATTGATCACTGGTATAACAGCTTCTCCATTAGGTTGAATATTAATAATAGCTCTTGGAATACAATGCTCTCTGCCTCTTTCTAGTCTAAAACTTGACTCCACAAAATAATCGCCGTTAATTTCACTACCTCTTGCTTCAACCACAACATTTACCACATGTTCTTTAGGAATGAAAACTGTGTTTTTAGCAAACAATTCAATTTTTTGATTTCTAGAAAAAACATTCCCGATATTGTTAATATCACCCTCCGTTATAATTAACTGTTTGTTATCTTTGACCACCACAACACCTGGAAGTTCAGTAAATGGGTGCCCTACTAAAATAGGCACTTCTAATATAAAGTTAGGTACGACGTGAGCGCACACTTCCGCTTTAACACTATCTATACTTAATAAAAATTTTGTTGTTCCTAATGCTACACATGTTCCGTTTCCAAAACCCTTAATCACTATTTGTTTAGTAGTATTGTAACTTAAACCTAACCTTTGAACTTCACTTAATTTAATAACTATACAGCTACTTCCAAAATCTATATATGCTTTAGATGATTGATCATTAACAGTTACGTCCTTAAAATATTTTGCATTTGGTGAAACAGAGTGATCGTCCTTGTTGACGCCTAGTCATGCTATAGATTTCACTTCCTCTCCCCTCTTCCTTTTTTTTATACGACATTCATTCTCCAAATGCCCGGTATTACGACAATAGTCGCATCGTTTTAGTTGGCAATCTTTGAACCGATGTCCGGATTTTCCGCATTTAAAGCATTTTGATGCATAGTCTTCGTTTTGTCGGCCATCTCTTTTTCCTCCTGACTGCAACCGCCGATCATTTCTATAAGTAGGTTTAGCTATCGGTCTGCTTGTTGAAGGTCGTAGGTCATGCAAGGTACTCAAATAAAGGTGAAGTGCTTCTGGTGACTGAAAATTTCCGGCCTTAGCTGACGCTTTAACTACTACATCGTCAATACCACCCAAGATGCAAGAGACTGCTTCAACTCCCGTAATTTTGCAACAATTTAACAATGCTACCTTCTCTTTTTGAGTAATTCTCATCGAAAACAAAATAGAGTGAATATGATTAAGATAAGAAAATGGCTGCTTTACTTCACAATTTTATTTTTCTGTACTTTCCGAACGAAAAAGAACGATAAACAATATCAATTCATTAATTTTTTACCACGTATCTGCAATAAATTATGTTATTATATTAAGTTAAACATTAGCACAAGTTAAATTTGAGCACGCTACCTTTAAATAATGGGAACAAGATAGATCTAATACAACACAAACGGATTATAAAATCCCACAAATGGCGCGGTAAACGCCATCTGTAGTACAATGCTACATTTTAGGAACAAGTACCTATTCTCAACAAGTTCCATTTTAATAAATGGATACCTACTTATTGAAACGGATCCCGGCGTAGCTCACCACTACGTGAATGGCACGTTACCATAATGGAACTTGTTGAGAATACGTGTTCCTAAAATGTAGCATTGTACTATAGATGGCGTTTACGGCGCTATTTGTGGGATTTTTTAAAATGCGTTGTTAAGACAGCAGGTAAAATTGGTCTGTGTTTTGTCGAAACTGTCTGCGACGCGCTGATGAGATCCAAGATAGAAATCGCGATCCGTGTCTGGCAGCTTCGACAGAATACAGACCACTTCGAATTACGTTTATTCAAAACAAACGTAGTTTATCAAATAAATTGAATAAATGCATTTGTGAAACTGGCAGTCATTAAATTTAAAAGAAGTGAACATCTACATCTATTACAACAGAAACAGTGATACTACTGTTTCCGATCATTAAGCAATCATAACATGTACCTTAGTAATTTTAAACTCTTGCATAATATTATAATAAAGGAAAAAGTTAGACCTCTTGGAAACCGTAGAAATATCGAAAGCTATCCAGAAACGTCATGCTGCCACGAATAATC